TTTTCTAATATAAAAAAATTACCCTAGTGTTCAGGATCTTCATTAATTTCCACATCTTAGTTGAGAAAGAGACCATTTGGCTGAGTGACTAAAGGTGAAGTTATCTAATTCCACAAATAAAGAACTTGTTATTTTCATTCTAGCTGGTCTAGAAAATGCTTATGTGTAGAGGGTTTTTATTTGTTCAAATGAATTTCTTCCTGACCTTCAGCCCACTGCCATAATTGTCTATGTCAGCTGTTAGAATCTGCCATGATAACTCCTCTGGTGGGCTCCTCAGCCCCTGTGGGATAGGTGGTGAGAGGGGCCTTCTTGTTACTAGAGTTACACTGAGAGAAACATTTTCTTAGAGGTTCCATTTGGAATTTGGAATGCATTTTCTTTTTCTTATACAAAGGTCCCCTGTTATGTTCCTATGAAATAGTAGTTGAGTTAGATTGTGGTTTCTTTTGGAGACTTGCCTAATCATGTTTCATAGTTTAAGCCTGATTTGCAGATCAACTTTCAGATATAAGTTACACATAAGTTTAGTACTTCTGTAATGATTTTTCTCTTTTCTAGAAATAAAAATTAAATGGAGTAGAGATTTAATAGTGTAGTTTCCTTTTTGTTTTTTTAGTCAAAAGGTAATTTATTCTACAAATATTTGAGTATCTGCTATTTAGCAGGAATTGTTCTAAGTGCTTCTTGTACATAGTAGGAAAAATAGAAAACATCCCTGCATTTATGGAGATTATATTCTAGTGCTGGGGTTGATAACTCAAGCCTGCCTGCTAAATCCAGTCTTCTGCCTATTTTTGTAAACGAAGTTTTATTGGAACACAGCCACACCCCTTTGTTTATGTATTGTTTATGGCTGCTTTCATGCTACGAGGGCAGAGTTGAGTAGTCCCAACAGAGACTGTATGAACTATGATGCCTAAAATATTTTATTACGTGGCCCTTTTGCAGAAAAAAGTTTGCCAGCCTCTGTTCTAGTAGATGTCACTAGAATATTTCTCCCTCATTGCTTCTTTTGGAAAGCCAAGCTCCTATTATATGTCATGTGAGTGATAGGATTCCTTATTACACTTATTGTATCCCAGCCGAAAGGTTCAAATTTCATTGCGTTATTGAAGATACAGAGTTTTAATTCAGGGGTAAAACATCGTGTACATTTTCTCTTCCCTTGATGGTAAAGTGGGCCAGAGAGCATGCTAAAACACAAAACAAAACAAAAACCAAAACCTCTAAATGTCCTATTTACTTCTCTCCCTTATGCTCCTGTAGAATAAGGTACTTAATGTACATGCATCTTTTATGCCTGGGTTTTTCACTTCTGATATCAAAATTTAAATAGTCTTTCAGAACACAATTTTAATGGTAGTTGGGGGGGGGAAATTTAGGTCATTAATTATGAAATGTCCGATTTCCTTAAGTACTAAGTTTGACAGTCGGTATCTCTGATGTTTTCACTTTGACACTTCTTGTTTTATTTTTATTGTGAAGGTACATCCTCATTCTTTCAAACACATGGTTTTTGGCTTGTGATTATCTTCCAAATTTTTTTACAGCAATTTTTGTGAAACTATGGATAAGTCAAAAATTTGTGTTATTTTTGACTATGAGTTCCGTTGTGGAACTGACAGTTCCGCTGTGCAGACAGGTTGAAATATCAACGAAGTGTTTGGGAGGGATGTGGCTAATGAATGCATAGTACATCAGTGGTTCCAGACGTTTCATTCTGGTGATTTTAATCTTGAAAATGAGCCATGTGGGTGACCTGAGACCAAGGTGGATAATGATGAGCTGAAAGCTGTAGTGAAAGTGAATCCATCTCAACCTATGTGTGAATTAGCAACAAGGTTTGACATTACCATTTGAACAATATTGAACCATTTTAAACAAATCAGCAAGGTAAAAAAGCTGGATAGATGGGTGCCACATAAATTAAATGAGTGTCAGAAGAGAAATAGTCTCGAAGCTTGCTTTTCTTTGCTGTCACCACATAAAGGCAAATCATTTCTATACCATATTTTTACATATGATAAAAAATAGATTCTTTTTGACAATCACAGACCTTGGCCACAATGGTTAGATAAAGATGAAGTGCTGAAACACAGTCCAAAGCTGAATATTTGTCAAAAAAAGCTGATGGTGTCTGTTTGGTGGTCCAGCGCTGGTATTATCCACTACAGCTTCATGAAACCTGGTCAATCGATTACAGCGGATGTCTACTGCAACCAGTTGTATGAAATGATGGAGATACTTGTGATTAAGTAGCTGAGATTGGTCAATAGAGATAGGCCAATCCTCTTGCATGACAACACTAGACCACATGTCACAGAAACAATGCTGCTCAAACTACAGAGGCTGGACTTGGAAACTCTCTGTCATCCACTGTATTCGTCAGACCTTGCACCAACTGACTACCACTTCTTCCAGAAAAGTGGTCCACTTCTTGCAAGGAAAAATATTCAATTCTCAACAAGTTGTAGAAAACGCCTTTCACAATTTCATTGCCACTCACTCTGCAGGCTTCTTTGCTGCTGGCATAAACAAGCTACCATTAATATGGCAAAAGCGTGTGGATACTTTAGGCGCATACTTTGATTAATTGCACTGCTTCTTGTTTGAGATATAATAAACTAAACTTTTTTATTGAAAATTGGACATTTCATATTTAATGACCTAATATTTGAAAGCAGAAAGTTTAGAAGAAATATATTATTTCCCATTTGCTACACTGTATATGTAGTTTTCTTACTGGTGAACCATCTAATACCTATTATTTATTTTTTAAAACCTAGATGAGTACTTGAATTCAATAACCAGGAGATCTTAGTATTTTAACTTAACCAATATGGAAAATAAGAAACAGATACCGATCCTAGTGAGAATGGCAATTGTATATTCAACTTAAAGTGTTTCAAAGATAGCAACAATTCCCTTTACTAAGGCATCACATAGTCTTGTCTCTGAGACTATTTGAGAGTCACAGTAGATGGAGAATGAACCAAATGACCTCTTAAGGTCCCTCTTAACTTTAGGATTCTATAATTATATGGATGGAATTGTGAAGAGAATTTGAGTGCAAGAATAATTCCAAAGGAGGTCACTTTTTAGGTTAACAAGCTTTCCAGTGTCTTTTTAAAATGATAGAAGTATTCCTGAACATGAAGTGAAAAATAGTAAGCTTTTTAACATTATTATTACTTCTGAAAGGACCTCATCATAATTCATTTAGAAGTCTTATGTCCTTAGGAATCTCATAAAGTATTTTGCCTGCATCATTGGGGGTGGGGTGATGTTGTTTTCATTGAGTAAATTCTTATAATAGAGATTCACATAGTTGTATTTCATTTTGATTTTTTTTAATTCATGTTTTTCTTGGCTTTCCCTTTTCTGCCAATCTTGTTTACTTTTGCTGAGTCTTGATTTCTTTGCAGTGTGGTGTGAAGTTGATGGAAATAGACCAGAGAAACAGATC